TTTGGCTTGTTTTAAGGGATTAGGAGTTATCCGAAGTGTTTTAGGTTATTGATAAAACCTATATATATAGAGTTGCAGGTTTGTTGCAACCTTAAGGGGATTTGAGAGTTTGTTTGGATAACTTGAGTTTTGAGGAATTTTCTCAAGTGAATTAATAAGAGAAGCGAGTTCTTGTTAATCTTGTTCTACACAAACTATAGGAGATACAAGAACAAGATGCTGAAGGTGATGATTGTTCTCGTCTAGGCATTCAAAGGAAACGAGTTCAAGTGCCTCATGGAGGATTCAACTTCGGTTGAAGATAATTTAAAACTTACAAAGTGTTAAAGTCTTTTTCTATAGGATGATATTAGTTTAGAGTTGACTAACAAAAAAAAAAATTGACATGGAACTTAAAGAGCCAAGTTCTTGGTGACACTTGTTGGTCTATTCATCATTGTCAATATAAATGGTGTTCATCACATTCAAGTCTACTTTGTTTTGTTTTTTTTGAAGTTTAGGGGATGTTAAAGTTGTTCTCTGAAGAAACTGCTATCTGTTTTAGTTCAAAAGATTTTTTATACAAAGTAAATTCAAATCCATGAAATCTGCTTAGTGATTTGATTATAGAACAAACAAAAGCTTTGTTAGACCATTGAAGTCATTGGTTGCGGTTACATTGCTCTGCTTAACTTGCAGCATAATTCTAATAAACACACATGATTTATACTCTTACAACATTAAGAGAAGAAAGAGTGGTGGTCCAGGAACATGTATTTGTGTGTGTGGTTCCATTGGGGACAGGACAATTTCAATATCTTAAAAAACTACTTGGAGTATTGTCAGTCTTTGACCAGATCAATGATAATTTCAACGTTACATACAAAAAACACTATCTAATTTGGAACCATGCAAAATAATAATATTATGGACTGAATCCTCCCTATCTACCTGGCCATACTCTTCACCACTCGTGCCCATCTCTTTTAGTTTGTTTGTTTCTCTATATAACTAATCCCATCATTAGCATCTCAATGTCTCACTAAATCTTTGTTTTACAGTGGTATCACCATCAACTACTTTTGAGTGAGTTGGTGTGCATCACTCAACCCTCATTAAATACCCAACATACAGTACTCAAAAAAAAAAGTCAAATTCCGTAGAGATCTTAATAAACGGCTACGATCTAATCTAACCCTCGTGAATCATCAATCCAGACCCCACCGTACTCTGTACCGTATGTGATCGCACCTGTCAAAGTGGCGCCTTTTTTTTCACCCTCTTCCTCAACACTCCCCAATTTTGGCGGGTGGCTCTCTCTCGATAATAGAGGAAGAGTTCAAGGGCATTATCGTCATTTTCTACAAAATGCTAGAGTTTAATTTCGAACCAATTTATAATCGAATCGGTTTTGTGATTATCCACCGTGCGTAAGTGTTTGTCGGTTCGGTTCTCTAGAACTCTCCCTCTCTCTACTCTCCTCCCTTTTTAAATTTTTATCTCTCTCTGATCTGATCTTTCTGTTTCCGGAAGAGACGTGTGATCATCTCAAACCCTAGCTAAATCCTTATCATCCGAAGTGGAGAAAATGCTAGATCACATCGAGAAGGTGAAAAGAAGAGGTGGAGATGTGATCGAACAGAACAAGAAGACTTGCGCTGATTGTGGCACAAGCAAAACTCCTCTTTGGCGTGGTGGTCCCACCGGTCCAAAGGTCAGAGACCAATAAACCCTAACCATTTTTTTTCATTTGATTGTTTGGTCTGATCCGATCTAATATGTTTTTTTTTTCTTTCTCATGTAGTCGCTTTGTAACGCGTGTGGGATCAGAAGTAGGAAGAGAAGACGAGGAGTAGTAGAAGCGAAGAAATCAAATTCATGCGGCGGAGATCTCAAGAGAAACCCTAAGTTTGGTGAATCAGTGAAAGAGAGGATGATGGATTTGGGGATGACGAAGAGATCGACGGTGGAGAAGCAGCTACGGAAGCTTGGGGAAGAAGAGCAAGCGGCGGTGCTTCTCATGGCTCTCTCTTATGGATCAGTCTACGCTTAGGTGTGTGTGGCGAATTTTTGATAATAAAAAAATGTTTTTAGGGTTTTCTGAAATTCAGAGAGCAATGATGAGGACTAGCAAACGAATGTGTAATTGTTTGGCTTTGTGTTCTTCAAATCAACTTCTTTTTGAAAAAAAAAAAATCTGAACATTAACAAGTTTTAGCAAAAAAAAAAATAAAACAGGGGTAGTTATTACTTTATGGGGTATCTTATGTTTGTATTTAAAAATTATTGGTCTGTGTTGCAATCTTGTCCGTATTAAGACAGGAATGGGACTTGCCTATCTGTTAAGCACAATTCTTGTCAAAGTCAAAATAATAATATTTATGACTTTATTACGAAAAAAGCGATTGAATATGAAGCCATTTTTTTAGATTTGAAATATTTCTCTTTTCATTAATTCCGTGGGCACCAAACCTTTCTTGAAGTATTAATGTTTGAAATGTATTACGTATCAACATAAAAACCATATCATTCGTATGTGTCCCGTAATTAACTAACAAAATCTTGGTCTGGCCACATGAATTATGTTTTTTAATTCATGTGTAGTGTGTACTGTTAGTCTGCTATTAATAGTCAACCCAATTAAATGTGATTCTTTTGATGATAAATCAGTTCCAATCGTCGTCACTATAGTATTAAAACCAAGAATATCAGGACTTTTTAAAAATTGCATTATGCTACCAGAGTTAAATTACATGACATTAGCACATGCTACCAAATTCATTTACATCAAAAGCTTGGCTGAAAAAGGAAGTTAAATTCCCTATGTTAAATCCAATAAGGGATTTTAAATAGGTCCATTGTTAAGTGTAGAGGGCCACGCTAAAAGAGAAACTGTAAGAGGTCAAGCTAATAGAGAAATTGTATAGGGCCTAGCCCAAAATGATATTTCAGAATCTGAACAATTCTTTTCAACCAGAGAATCTAAGACGATTTGAACCTTGTCGGTACGGTTCTGTAATTTGGGTCCATCACCAAATCTAGGACTAGACACACTTGTAGGATCTTTATCCAAGTCTGATCCGTTACCCGATTTGTACTCTCTGAAACTTAAGGGTATACGTTGCATTCAACTCATGTAGTCATGTAATATAGTATTACCTGGATTACCGCTTTTAGTTATCAATCACAGTAACAATTAATACTTGTATAGAAGATAGTAACAATTCATTTTGTGTATATCGATATTTACCGCCATTTTAGATTATGGGTATACATTTAATTTTGTGTGTATCGATATGTACCACTTTTATATTATTATTAATTATTCTACTACCAATGACTGCTTTTTCTGATAATTATTTTTACTGTTTTGTATCACTGGTTCTCGACCAATTGCACTCGTGAAGAACGATGTCGCAAACCGAAAGAGATTTGGCAACTAAACTTTCTGCCTAAACGCAAATCCCTTCGTACCGATTAGATCTTCTACGGTTGTAAATGAAGCCAGCGATGAGCAAGTGTACAGAGTTATGCTGAAATAAAGGTCTAGTAGGCAGGGGTGGGCGCAAGGCGAGTACTTGCTATTTTTCATGTACTCGCGACTTGACTTGCCTTGTACGAATAATAAAATTTTCGACTTGTACTTGACTTGTTTAAAACGAGTACTTACTATTTCGAGTACTTGATGAAAAATAAACGACTTGCAAGTTACTTGCCTTGCTCTATTACTTACTATTTACGAGTACTTGTGCACTATTTACGAGCTTTTTCAGAATATTTAGGAACTACTAACTAAATAACATTATGTTAGAAGTAGACATGAAAATTTGTTTTGTTTATTTTACTTAAAGTAACATGTAAATTACTTTAAATAGAATATTTGTTCATATTATAAAAAAGATAAATTAAAAAATGCATATTATGGTATATAAACATTGTATAATGATCACGATAACAATAATATCTTCTCTAAATAAGTAACAAGTAATAACAAATCATATTACTAAATTTTTAATATTTGTTGTTGTGTAATACTTGACTAGATAACGACGAGTATTCAAAGATCAAGATTGGATACAAAATAATTAACAAATATAAGAAGAGTAGTGTGTATTTATGTCTAGTCCTAAATGCAAGTAAAAGAAAAGACAAATATGAAAAACTAATTAATAGATTATGTAACAAATAGCAAGTAATGGAACAAGTAGCGGGGCGGAACGAGTCAAATACAAAATATAATAATGATACTTGATACTTGACTTAGTTTTGCAAGTAATGAAAATTGTCGCCTTATTACTTGCCTTGACAACACCGAGTACTTGAATTTTTAAGGCGGGTACGAGTCAAATATCGAGTTTAAGGCGAGTAACGAGTAATGATGCCCAGCCCTACTAGTAGGTGCGGAGAATGTGGGATGGAGTGGGTGGGCCCGTTGCACGCTATTAAAGACACGTGCTATACAGCTAATATTTCATCTCCCCTTTCACAAATCGCATTAAAACTCTTTTTTTATTTCTTTAAATTTTTGAAAATCAGTTTATCAATGAGTAACTCGTGACATTCAAGTATTCAACAAACAGCTGCTACTCCAAATCGTCTCGTAGTCTTGTCAGTTACAAAGCTACACGATTGTTTGTTTAGATCATTTTGATCTATGGACACGTGCATGTGAACTATGCGTGTTTTCATTTTGCATTGCTTATTTGCTTCATTTTACCAAACTTTTGCCTAAATCATCTCACAAAAATGAGATGGAGTCTTTTTGAACCTTTTAATCTGATAATACAAGAAAATTGGCAATTTGCAATGAAATATTTTCACATGTTTTCTTTCCTATCAATATCTCAAATTTTAATTTATTTTTTGAAAATTATATAAGAATATCCTAATGTCCATCAAAGTGGATTTAGATTAACATCATGTTAATAGTCTATATTTCCAGTTCATATACTGGTTCCATGTTTTTGACGATGCTAAAATTTTAATTTTTGAATAACAGAACTCGAATCCAAATGATTTAAATTTTATCCTCGAATTAATCACCATTGAACCACAAACAGCAATTCAAAAAAAAAGTAAATTTGCATAAGCTTAGATTCTATAAACACCTAAAAGCTTCAAATCAAGCTTTTTAATTTCGAAGCTAGCTATACTCACCGAAGTCATATTATATCAAAAGGTTTTGTTGAAAATACGCTCACTCACACCTAAGTCAGGACTTCCGTCATCTTCACGTCTACTCATGCCACATCATAAACCAGACACCCAATGTTCCACGTCCGAAAAGCTTGCAAAAAGTCAAGCCCCACGATAATGACTGCCACATAATATTTTAGTTGCTGTCGTTCGTTTCCTTTAATTTCCCAAACCAACTTGCTCCGCTGCTCGTCGACGTAGCCGCCACGAGATAGCTCACAATAAAGCCGAGACCAGGGGTATTATCGTAATTTTCACCTACCATAACATTTACAATGACGTATTTATCCCGACATGCGCGTAGTTCCGGTGCTTTTTATTACAAACCTTCGGTTAAAAGATTAACGTGTCGGTGTCATCTTTTCTTCCATTTCACTATTCATTTCTTTATTTAAAAACACCTTTATTGCTGCAACAAAATATATATTTAAAAAACCTCGATAAAAAGAAGAACACTCCTCTTCTCATTGTGCTTCTTCTTTCTTTCTCTCTTCGTAGATTTTCTACACTGAAAATCAAGTTTCCAAGTCCAGTTTCTGACAATGGAAGCAAACCAGTTATACTGTTTGGTTACACTTGTTCTTATTCTATTATTGTCAGTGACTTCGACAGTGACATCCAAGGACGAGGTTGTTTCCTGTACAATGTGTTCTTCCTGCGACAATCCTTGTAACCCCGTCCAATCATATCCTCCCCCTCCTCCACCTTCTCGTCCACCACCTTCACCATCAACCACCACCGCATGTCCACCACCTCCTTCTCCTCCGAGCTCCGGCGGTAGTGGTGGTGGTAGCTCTTACTATTACCCTCCTCCTTCTCAGTCCGGTGGCGGAAAATACCCTCCTCCGTACGGTGACGGTGGTCAAGGCTATTACTATCCTCCGCCGTATTCAGGAAACTATCCTACGCCACCTCCGCCTAATCCCATCGTCCCTTACTTCCCGTTTTACTATCATACGCCACCACCAGGTTCTGGAGCAGATCGGTTTATGGGTTCTAACTCTATTCTCTTTGCTCTTCTCGCCGTCTTTCTCTGTTTGGTGTGACGGAAAATAGTCGGAGTTGGCCGGAAAATACCAAGTAATGTGGCAGATCGGTAGATCTACAATAGTCTTTGATGGTTTTAGATGTTGGATCAAATGATTATCTTTTACTTTCTTTAACCTTTCTTGTGTGGACAATTTGTATTTAATTTTTCTTTGTTAATTAACACTTTCGTTACTAGCTATTCAGAAATAAAGTATTGTTACTTTCTATGCATTGTCTCTCCTCTCCATGTACTGTATGGTTGATGTATTGCTCTTTAAGTAGTTTACACTCAACTTGTTAGTTTCATCTTAGCATTATTTTGTCGGTTGAGCTTTATTTACGCTGAGAATTCAATTTTTATATCTCAACTCGTTAATTAACTAATTCTGTCGCTTATAACATCGTCTAATAGAGTTCATAGCCAAACATTTACGGTAACAGTATCTATCAATCAGCTAAACTCACGGCCACTAGTATCTGTTTAATCATTGTAACATGTGATTGTCGTTAATATCAGACAATATACTATTTCAATTATTGTGTAATGTGCACCGTTGGAAATTCGAAATACACATGCAATAAAATAAAATTTAATGGCCAGCTTTGCTCCACCACATATCCTTCCGTTTTTCTATAACAGGCTAAACTCTTTTATAAAAATAATCTCATATATTATTCCCCTTTGTTTCGCTGAGCCTGAGACCAAGAATCATTTTATATATGTGACCTTCATTTTAAAGCCGTAAAACCTACGTCAATATATATGAACACCAAAAATAAAGAGTGAACTGTTTATGTGGTGGCAGTTAACCAATGTCGTTGAGGGAGGCAGTGAAACAAAGATTAACGTCTATCTCAAGAAGACCTGGTTTCAATATATAGTATGTTAATGTGTAAAATAGAGGTATATCTTTAATTGGCTAATGTAGTTGTTAAACACCATTTGCTTTTGTATTCTTCCTGAGTTCAGGTGAATTTTACACAGTTTGATTTTACAAGTCAACTATTCCTTGAAATAACGCATGAGAAGTTAGAGTAGGAGAGTTCATAATATATATATATATATATATATATATAAGTTCTTGATTTCTTGATTGATTAAATGTTTTGTAAAATGAAATTAATCATTTACTCAATGCGGCTTGAGCTGTTTGAAATACAAACGTTGTATAACTTTTGTTGTTCGGCTTTTAGTATCTGATTCGTTACTCTTTTGTCTTACCATTTAGTGTCGTTAAATCGCAGCTAAACAGTCACGAGAAGAACATTGTTTTATCATTGAGAAATGTTTGTGGTTTAATGCCAAACAAGTTATTAAGTTCCATCATACATCGATGACGCCACATCTCATTCGTATGTAGTAAATGGGCTGATGAGCGAGCCTTTTGTGGTCCAAAAGAACAAAAAAAATAATTATTATTCGGCCACAGAATAGTGAGATGCTAAGCCATACGATGATTATTGGTAATGGTCATTTACCCCCAAAATAGTTCCATGTTAATTCTGTAAGCCACATAAAATTATTTTTAGAATCTTATTATTAGTGTTTACTGATTCAAACTTGTTTAATCCCATAACCATAAGATAAATAAAAATCTGGAGAAAGATCTCTTACGAATATTTTAACAATTTCAAACTCTTTGAGTACACGGTTTTTACTTCCTTTGAAGATTTCTATATAAACCGTTAATTCCACATCCCATCTTTACACATTTTTCTTTTGAAATCATCTCACTTCTTCCACTAGGTTCGAGTTTGTTTTTCAATCTCAAAGGTTACTTTTGTTTTTCTTGTTTTTTTTTGTTTTTAAGCGAAAGGTCCCATGTCGAATTATAACAATTCTGGTGAATTTTCAGTCTCCATGGAAATTTCGCATGCTACAAAAGGATGGGTCCAATATAGATCGATAGGTAACCTTGATCAACAAGAAAATGATCATTAAGCTATCGTTAATGGGCTGCCTTGGTTTTGTTTTTAAGGCTAAGAATGTTTTTTGAGATGTTCATTTGTTATCTATGAACTATTTTTTTTATTTGGGGTTGTTAGCGTCCGACTAATTATGGAGATGAACACATCTCAATAATAAAATTTCGGAAAGTTTGAGATATTATTAATATTTTTCACTTGGCTTAGAAGGCCATATCATTTTCTATTTAGCATTATAGCATGTTGGTTTGTTGTAGCGTCCATTAATCTTGGAGATGAGCAAGCATTTCTTCAAGAATTTTTTTGGCAATCTCATCAGGGATAAAAACATGGCAGAACTCCATGACTGGATGTCTACATGAAAAGTTTGATATGCTACTATCGATATCTGGAGAACAAGTTTACGCTTTTTGAAATTTAGATTAATCCAAAGAACGATTTATGTCAAATATTTTTTGCCTCACGTTTGAGATTGTTTGTATTGAAAGTAAATATGATTTTTTTGGTTGGCATTCTAGGTGATGATTGTCTGTTTAATTTGTAGATTTTAGTTTTTGTTTTTTTTTTGGTTTCTGGCTTTTGATTTTTAGAATTTTTTTTTGTTGTAGATTTTAGTTTTTTGAAAAACTTGAATGGTGAGTTAGATTTTAGTATTTCGTTTTATTTTCTTAGATGAATAAATAAAATAATTTATAATAATAATAATAATAATAATAATATACTTCTTCTAAATATAGTAAAAATAGAAGATATTATCACTAAGCGTAAAATTACAAAGAGATTTATATAAAATAATCCATATATTTTTTAAATTGTTTCAAAGATACATTTTTACATTTTCATCATATTTTTTTATTAAATAATAGTTCTAATTAGTAACGTTAATGTGACCTGATCGAATTGATATCTCCGAATCTCTCTATCTCACTTCGTATCTTCTCGTGTGTATTAAGTTCGCAACTCCTAGAACAAACAAGCTATAATCGGAGAAAAGAATCAGAGCAAAAAGTAAAAGGCGAGGGAAACGTTTTAGAGTTCCCTGTCACAACGACGAGGTACGTCTTCTTCGGGATCGGTACCCGAGATCCACTATCACTGGTGTTTACAAGTTTTTCCGGTGACAAAAATGGCGGACTCTCTCTACAACTATATCTTAGATCGCTGAAGAAAATAAGGTTTCTGTTAGAATCAGTTACGACTAAATAGAGGTGTGATCCTCTAGATTCCAGTCTACGCCAGCTTCAGTAACACCAGTTTCAGTAAGTCTTCTCTTTAACTTTGGGCTTCACGATCTCTCGGCCCATCTGACTTACTTACTGATTTGCTTATCATAACAGGTTCCACCGATGGGCCGCAACTAAAGCCCATTAATCCTTAGGCAATACTCGAACACCACTCTAGACAATAAACTTTAAAAAATTAATCATGTTTATTAAATTTTTATTAGCTAAAATTTTTGAAAATATTTAGTTATAAAAAATAATACATTTATAATATAATTTAATATATATTATTAATATGTGTAAAAATAAATAATATGGATCATTTGAAACCAAAGAAGTATTAAATAAGTAATTTAGAATTATAGATAAAAATTAAGATCAGAAATCTTGCGTATTTGATCCTAGACAATGTGGGCACAGATATTTTTATGGTTATTTATTCTATCTATAAATAATTTCTATAAAGTTAGTTAAAATACTCAATTTAAAATAAAAATTTCTGTTGTTTTTTCTCTCTAAATTACATATAATTTTAGATGTATAAACTTTGTCATTTTATATTACATACATTAAATAAAGGTCTTTTACTAGAGCTGATTTCTATATAGTAGTTATTGTTTTTATTTATTTCCATGTATTAGTGCATAAATATAGCAAAATTATAAATTGAAAAATTGAAAAACTATCATTGGATTTTGAAGAAACCATAAAAACTTGGATTTTGGTTTTTCTTTAGAAACGACAGTTATTTCTAAAAACTTTACAGATCAACCTCCTAACTATCTGTCTTGTTTTACGTTGCATGAAAAGAAATACTAGATAGTTACATTCAGTGAGCCTGTAATTTTGTATTTTGCTAGCAGTTTGAGGGTGTTCAAAAAAAAAAAAAAAAAAGCTAGCAGTTTGAGATATTCAAAACATATACGTTCTTTCTGGTTTAGTTATATTTGTAATAGATTCTTACGGTCATTGGTTGAATGAGTGTTACTTCTTAGATTACTAAGAAAATAATAGAAATCTTGAGATATGTCACGCCTTTATAATTTTATTAGGAGTTGTTCACTTTACTGCATCTCTTAAAACAATCGGCCATTTCGTTTGTTTTAGCAGTCTAGATTTTCTTTTGCTTTTAAGTTCTCTAAAAATAGATAGTGTATAAACCAACATTTTATGCAAAATAAACAATTTATAACCTTAAGAAATTGTAGGCTAGATCATATCTTTGAAATTTTTATTTGGTATTTTTCGAAGTTTTGGTCTGTTATCTATATAGATTACTATTTTGGTGGTTGTTGAACATGAATGGATGCTGGCATATTATATATATGTTATCTATAAAACTTATCTATATGTGAATATAGATGTTCTCTTTAATTTATCCATGTGCAGATAATTAGAAAGGAAGGGGGAAATATAGAAGTAAAGGAAAAGAGTTTGGTGAGAACAGTTATAAGGTATGATCCACCACGACCACAATGTTTATTAACTGCTGGAGTAGGACACATATATTGAAACCACCGATTTCAAGTTCTTATTCGTTTTGAGTAAATAAAATAAACCGGTTGTTGACATGCATCCCATGCAATCCATGCATGCTAACACATACATATACAAAAGAGAGAAGGGAAGGCATCACCTAGAGTATATATTAAAGTCTAATCTCTAGAAAATAATAAGAACAACAATAAACTATATGGTCGGACTTCATCTTCTTTTAATTTGGTTTTCATGCTTGCCCCCGATCCTGAACCATATATCCCTCCTTGCAGATCCCTAATCTTGGATTAAATCTCGAAAAACCTATTCTCATCAGTTAGGTTAGGCTGTTCTTGTTCACTGGGTAACCATTGTTGTAGTTCTTCACTTACATTCATCATCATTGTGGTTTCTTTCTGTACACCACGAAACACACACACAAACAAAATTAAAGATATGGATCCACATAACGTCTATAAGAAAACCATAAGAAGTGCATACCTGATCAAGAAAGGAACCAGGTGTGAGAGATGATGGAAACGAATGTGTATACAATATGGATGGTTCATGATAGTTCATCATCGGTTGTTGATTGGGAAGTAGCTGATTATCACTGGAAAGCATTGTAGTTGCCATCACCGGTTCATGTAAGTGTGACAAACTCATGTCTTCGGAACCTTGTGTGAACAAGGAAGCCAAGTTTGAAAACTCAGCCTCTTCTTCATTGTAAATCAAACTCTGATGATGTCTTAGA